CTACATTTGGGCCTAAATTTTGTCCTACTTTTTTTCTACATTTTGTCCCGGTTTAGTGGTAGAGAATTAAGGCAACCCTAGATGGACAAGTATCGGCCAAAGATGCTTTCATCCTGTTAAAATTCAGGTATTTAGCCTTGTGTGGTAAAGTCCCAAGTGAGGAAAAGAGGGATGTTTGCAATAAACAAAAATGACTTTAATGCTTAGCTCAGGGGTAGGCAACCTTTCCCCTTTAAGGGCCGAGGGACTTCAGCTCCCAGAAGCCTCAGCCATGTTGGCCAATAGTCCCATGTTGGCCAATAGCTCCTGGGATTCTGGGAGCTGAAGTCCCTCGGCCCTTAAAGGGGAAAGGTTGCCTATCCCTGGTGTAATAGGCCCTCAGTAGAAGGACTATGCAAATAAGATTAAAAAAAAAGTAGTCCTTCTTTTTCAATTTTTTTTTCTTATTTGTATAGTTACATAGTTATTTGTATATACTTTGAGAATCTCCCAGTGGCCACATGGCCAGAAAGAGGAGTTGCCAGCCTGCAAGATACCCCTCCATACCATCTGAAGTGAGAACAAAAACAGGAAAATGTAGTCCTATAAGTAATATCTTCATTTTTTTCCACTCTCCTGTATGGTTTGTAACATTTTGCCTGATGAAGGAGCCAGTGCAGCATTGAAAGCTTGCAACATGCATATTGTGTATTTTGGTTGTTCCTATAAAGATATTACTGTTTGGTGTTGTGTTGTTTTTTTTTTATGTTACTGCATTTGCTATATAGCCAACATGGCTAGCCCTGGATGTTATTTGTATAGTGTTTGTTATTGTCGTATTTTAAAGCTATGAAAATCAATACAGTTATTATTTTACCACATTGTGGAATTCCTCCTGGACAGAAGCTTGAAGTGGAGGACACATCTGGTCACTCTGGACCTCTTCCATTCTCCACACCGAAGCCTTAGGAGGAGGACTATACTTGTCATATATTTTGTTTCTGTTATTTGTATAGTGCTAGTTATTGTCCTATTTTAAAGCAAGAACAGCAATATATTATTATTATTATTATTATTATTATTATTATTTTATACCCCGCTGTGGAGAAAAGGCAGAGATTGGCAAGGTGAGAGAAACCCTGGCAGCATCCAACTGGGATGGGGCAGGTGCCAGCCAATCAGATTGAAGTTTGGAGAGGATAAATAGGACCGTTGGAGTCAGTTAGTGACAGTTAGAGTCTTTTAGTGAGGGATTCAGTAAAGAGCAGAACTCCGAGGGGGAATTACTGTTAGAAATTATCCTGAGGGATATAAAAAGCCTTGGTGGCTGGTTTAGGTATAGGTTATACAGAGTATCCAAAGGAGAACTGAGAGGGTCCTGGAATAACTAAGGAGTGTTCTCTGAAGAGCAGTATTTAAAGTAAAAAGTGAAGCACAAACCATAAACAAGTGTATGAAACATATTATCCTAAAGAATTGGATTTATTGTGGAGTTAATGTTACTACAAAAGGCCTAAGCAGACTGCCAGAAATAGTGCACATTAAATTGAAGCACTGCCCTGGCTCAGTGCTAGGGAATCATGGGAAATGTAATTTATTGTGGCACCAGAGCTCTCTGACAGAGAAGGCTCAATGTCCCAGAAAAAAAAAAAAAATGCAATTTCCATGACTCCCTAGCAATGAGCCAGGGCAGTGCCTCAAATCTGCTTAGGCCCAAAGTATACTTATAAGAGACCGTAACAACATGTAACAAGTAAATTAAGACCAAGACCTATCAACTGTATTAACCATCTCATACTAATGATACATTGTTCAATTTAACTTTCAAATAACCTTCTAACTTTGGTTTTTTGTGGGGGGTTTCAGGCTATGTAGCCATGTTCTAGAGGATTTTATTCCTGATGCTGGCATCTTCAGAGAATGATGGCATGGAAGTGAGTGGGATTATATACTGTGTTATCCTTGGTTGAGAGAAAGTGATTTACATGTTAACCTGTGTGTTGTTCTGTTGTTGAATGGCAAGACCTCAGGGTGGGAAGATATGAAAGGAGGGATCCATTTTCTGCTGGGAAAACCCATGACCCTGGGTGGTTTTAATTTGCACATGCTGGGTCTTGACTTTGGTGTTTTCTCAGGACTGGCAGCCAGACTATAAGGTATAAGGGTTTCTTCTTTCTTGTTGAAATTGTCTAGGTGTTTGTGGATTTCAGTGGCTTCCCTGTGCATTCTGACCCGATAGTTGTTGGCATGGTCCAAAATTTCAGTGTTTTCAAATAGCATTTTATGCCCAGGGTGGTTTACAAGGTCTTCTGCTACTGCTGATTTTTCTGGCTGACCCAGTCTGCAGTGTCTCTCATGTTCCTTGATTCATGTTTGAACACTGTGTTTGGTGGTCCCTATGCAGACTTGTCCACAGCTGCATGGTATACTATATAGTAAACTCCTGTGTCTGTGAGACTGTCTCTCCTGTCCTTCGCTGAGCACAGTATTTGCTGGATTTTCTTGGTAGGTTTATTTATCATTTGGAGGATGTGTTTCCTCACCACTTTTCCTAATCTGTCTGCGACTCCTTTGATGTATGGTAGAAATACCTTTCCTTTGGATGGTTGTTTGTCTTCATTCCTCTGGATTTTTTCTGGGTCTGTCAGCCCTTTTGATGTCTGAGCTGGGGTAACCATTGGCCTGTAGAGCCCAGTCTAGGTGATTCAATTATATGTATTTTATTGTAGTTTTAATGTTGTAAGCCGCCCTGGTTGCATTGCAGAGGGGTGGGATAGAAATTATTATTATTATTATTATTATTATTATTATTATTATTATTATTATTATTAATTCATCTTCCCGGAAGCGGAGTTCACAGATCCTTTTTGTCCAGTCTAGCAGTGTTTTTATTGTGCTTCTTTTTTTGTCTTGGGTGATGATTGGAGTTTTTGTGTAGGTATAAAATGGTTTCCTGTTTCTTATTTGTATAGTGTTTGTGACTGTCCTCCTTTAAGGTTTATGCAAAGCAATACAATTGTCCATCCTCCACACTGAAGCCCTCAGGAGCAAGACTCTCTTTGTCCTGTATATTGTTGTTGTTGTGTTTCCTGTTTATTATTTGTATAGTGTTTGTTATTGTC